GTAGTACGTTTGCAGATTTTGTATGCGCAGCATGTGCTCATCTATATGCACGATCAGATTATTTTACAAATGAAGAAGATGTCAGAAGCCAAACAATCATTACTGCACTAAATCTTTGGCTTCGAACTACAAGATGCTAAAGGTCTTATTTACATAAACACCGGTAGTGTTGAGATAGTATGAAAGAATTCCAAAAAACAGAGTACCAAAAAAGAAAACTGTAAATTAGATTAAAAATATATGAATAAATAAAAACAGGAAACAAAAAGGAACAGATTGCATCTCTCTTACCTCTGCAGCTCTACTGTATGTTGGATCCTTGTGAGTAAAAAAAAAAAAAAAAAAAAGCCAACAACTTCAGATTCAGCTGCGCAGAATCCCCAAGTCTTTCCAGGATTATTCACACATCTGTTAGTCGAAGCAAAACTTTACAGACTTTACTACAGTCCTCTGTCCGCCTGCTGAGTAAATGAATCCTAGATGGTGATGAACGGTGGCGATGAAAGGACAGCACAGCGCTGGAAGGCAGACGGACTGGATGAAACGGAGGAGCAGACTGAGGAGGATGCACGAGCTGTTCGTCCTCGCATGAGAGCAGCAGTGCTGGAAACACCCACCTCCTCAGCGTGCGCTCAACTGGAGCCTGCTCCAAAAGTATACTGAAGCCCCGTGAGTGGCACAAGATCAGATGTGACCTGAGATATGCACACGTGAGGTTGTGAGCATTCATTAACTTACTTTCACTGGCACACATTGACTCACACATTCCCAGTGCTGGGGGCAGACCTTGTGCTGGGGGCTTTTCGGTGGAAAGAAACAAACAGCAAAGAGGGTCTTCATGTTTTAAATGGCTGCTAATGAGCTGAATGTGGTGGCGTAGTGTGTTCTTATAGAAAACTGAAGCAGTTCCAGCCCTCAAGGGATGCCCCACAGGTCAGGAGAGGAAAACGCAACTTTCAAACTAAACTGTTTAATCTGTTCATGTTTTCATTTCATATGGGCAATTAGTTCGGCTTTTCAAACCAGGAGGCAAAAAGAATCACTCCGATTTGATTTAATGAACTCCACATAGCATTCCCCTGCTGAAGCTACTTCAGGTCGATGCGTTTCTCTTTTTACACAGTAGAGGTTTTTTTTTTTTTTTTTTTAATTCTCAACATTTCAGCTAAATTATACAGTGACGATGACAGACTGTGTCTAAGATGAGGATGTTGCAGTTTGTGCTTTAATAGAAATACAATTAGCCTGTAAATAAATACATAAACGAGCTGGGCTAAATTCTCAGCCGTTTAGGACATGGAGAACCCTACAAATTAACTAAACTAAAAATAAAAAGCAACTGGACTCCTGATCTGTAGAAGATGTTTCTTTTCCCATCCAGGGAGTTTTTTTTTTTTTTTTTTTTCTCCTGAGCCAAGTAAACAAAGACCCTGATGATCCTCAGGATGGAGGGGTGTGAGATTAATCTGCATGCCACTTTATCTCATGAACAGAGCTGCTCGTGCTATTTAAAGCTTGAATCTTCCAGATGGGAAGTGAAATGTCTCCTACTTGCTGTTTTTTTTTTATTTGTTTTTTTGCATTTTTAGAAATTACACTGCCTGGCCAAAAAGAAAAAAGTTGCCACCTGGATTTAACTAAGCAAATAGGTACGAGCCTCCTGTTGGATAATTACTGCATGGGCGATTATCTTTCAGCTGGCAACAAGTTACTTAACCCCAACTGGTGCAATGAGTTGCTTCTCATTTCTTAAACAATGTTGAAAGACGCATCGTGTGGTCGTGGAAAAGATGTCAGTCTGTTTGAGAAGAGTCAAATCATTGGCATCAAGCAGAGAAAACATCTAAGGAGATTACAGAAACTACTAGAATTGGTTTAAGAACTGTCCAACACATTATTAAAAACTGGAAGGATAGAGGGGACCCATCGTCTTTGAGGAAGAAATCCTGACTGATGGTGATCGGCGATCACGTAAACATTTGGTGAAATCAAATGGAAGAAAATTAACAGTAGCACTCAGGGCTGTGTTTAATAATGAAAATAAGAGCATTTCCACACACACAATGTGAAGGGAACTCAAGGGACTGGGACTGAACAGCTGTGTAGCCTTAAGAAAACCACTAACCAGTGAGGCTAACTGGAAAAAAAAGGCTTCAATTTACTAGGGAGCATAAAGATTGGACTCTGGAGCAATGGAAGAAGGTCATGTGGTCTGATGAGTCCAGATTTACCCTGTTCCAGAGTGATGGGTGCATCAGGGTAAGAAGAGAGGCAGGTGAAGTGATGCACCCATCATGCCTAGTGCCTAGTCATCAATGCAAGATCATGGTGAAAAATTAATGCAACGCTGGATGGAAATGTGACATTGCAGAAGCTTATTGAAACAATGCCACAGCGAATGCATGATGTAATCAAAGCTAAAGGCGGTCCAACCAAATATTAGTGACCTTTTTCTTTCTTTTTTCTTTTTTTGGTCAGGCAGTAAAAATCAATCACAAATAAAAAGCTCAAAATTTAAAACCGACTAAATGAAAATAGCCTATAGGGGAATACATATTTTTAACATAAAAGATCAGTTGTGGGCATGAAAAATCTTATTTTTTAGCTCTAGAAAAGAGGTATTATTGTAAGTTCAAGTATTTTTGTATGGGTACATATACAAGTTTCTGACTGAATGAGTTGTAACAAAAAAAGCACTCCTGCATGCCTCCGTGAGCAGAAGATTCCCTCTTGAGGGGTAAAGACTTTGAGACATGCTTCTCATTCTTGGAGTGCACCACGGCCTGTCACTCAACATGCCTTCATTTTCCATCTCCTCCTGGCAGTGATGGAGGATGGGGTGGGGTAGGGATTATTTTCTTCGTTTTTTTCTTCTTCTTTTTTTTTTCTTCATAATTTTGGCTTTGAGCTTCCACACTACCCCCCTCCACTTCTCCAGCCATGAGAGGTTCATGTCTCATGGAACAAACCAGCTTTAAGAAATGACAACTCTTCTGCTCAATGCATGGAAAAAGGTTCTCGTTGCCATCACAAACCAGGCACTTTACACCTGGCTCTACTAATAGGTGGAAATATCTCTAAAATGGTCCAGCAGATGTTATGTAACCAAATTTCTTCTTGAATCTATAAGTGTTAGCAGAAGATTTAAGGAGAATCTGCCAACATTGGATAATTCTAATCTGCAAGTGATCTACTGTTTAATGACACAGCCAGATGGAAACACGGCTTTTACTGTAGACGCTGTAGCTCAAGATAGGGATGAGAGAATCACTTGGGAGGTAAAATGTTGATATTAGGAGGTGACGAGGGAAAGGGAGCACAGTGACACTTCTTTATTTTGCATCGCCAGGTTGGTTAGGATTTAGATGGAAGAGAGTGTGACAACCCCATCAGCTGAGCACAACAAATTATGTCTAATAAACAAAATATCAAGCACCATAAATGCATTTTTTTTGGATGAACTGGACTCAGTTTATTTTAATTAAAGGGTATTGATACTATAGTAATTTACAAGTAAAGCTGTAGATGGGGAGATAGCCTGTTCTGAAGCATTAGACAGAGGGAGGTGTAGATAATTACAGTCTGCCCCACAGGAAGTCTTGTAACCAAAAGTGTTACAATCCAGTTCTCAGCATCCTTGCAGCTACACCTGATTCCAGAGAACCTGAGTAGCTCTTCATCGCTGCATCTTTGCTGCTGACCAAGCAGCCACCCTGCAGCAGCAGCAGCAACATTAAGGCATCAAACACCATCACACGGCCCAAACAGAAGATATCTAAGGATGCAACGATGCACCTTTTCCGTTTTTTTAATGCACAATTCAGGTGCATCGATACTCCACTCATCGTACAAACGCACGTCAGCAACAACACTACGCAGCCCTTTTAACGTCAACATATTGCAACTGATACTAGGTGCAAACTGAATGCAGGGAAGGCGATTTAATTATGCACGTGCAAATCTGAGCAATAATGCAAAAAATAGGGAGAACGTAACGTACGAACGAGTCTTACCCGTTAAAATCATGAAGAGGAAGTCTGCTGACTGTCAGAAGAGCAGATGATCCAGTGCAGATGGAGATGTTGCTGCTGGTCAGTACGAGCCTTTTTTTTTTTTTCCTCAGATAATGCCGCCCCCTGCCGGTGATAAAAGGTAATGCTACCGGTTCCTCGCTGTTTCCCGTGGCGATCATTTGTTTACACTATGAAAGTTTAACCTTTATGTATCAAACAGCTGTTTTTTTTTTTTTTTCAATTAATATAAACGCAAATCAATTTATCTTAAGGTTATTTTATTTCTGGTTTATAAGGGAAATTTACTTTTTCCGGCTATTTTTGTTTTCAAAATAAAAGCTGAAGCACTCTATTAGTATGCGTGTTCTATGATTTAATTTACTTGTTTTTATGTATTTATGCATTCAATCGGTAAATTATTGTGTCAAATCTACCTAAAATTTTTAAAGTATGATATCAAATAAACATGGGGATAAATAGGGATATTTTGAAAAGAAAAACATAGAAAAAATAATGTTGTTTTATTTAAATTGTATGTACGCCAATAAATACATTCAAATACAAGACATTTGTAAATAAAATACGTCTATCTTCATAAGTACTATATAAAATTAATGTTAAACTTTCATTTTCTGACCATAACTGCCTGATGTTGTTAGTTGAAAGAACTTTTTAACGTGCCCGCTTTTAGTTTGAAGGCGGCATTTTCGTTTCCTGTTTAACCTCCGGTCCTTCCATAAAACTACAAGTAGACCATGGCATAAAACTACAAGTAGGCCATGGCGTCTGAAGGGCTTAAATATTTAGGTGTCCTAATCTATGCCTGCTCTGTAGCACGTTAATGCTTCTCGTCAAATAATTTTCAAGATGTTCATGCACCTTTTTTTAATTTTTTTGCGCATGAAAGATGCACTGTTATTTTCAGGTGTGGCCGTCTTTTAGTTGGATTTTTTCAATCGAAGCGGATGTTCCTTTGGCAGAGTGACAGCCATCGGGTCTTCCAGCAGGAAAAAGCGCCAACTTCCCCACCATCGTCGGAATATTCAAACAGTCGAGTAAATGGTTCGAATGACTGCGTATTTGGAGAAATTTGTCAAACCTGAAACCGAAATGAGTCGTTTTGGTAAGGTTTTTTAAGCGATGTGCTTGCTGTATGAATTTAAACAGATCGTTTGCGTGAACTAAACGCTCGAAGCAGCGTGCTGCTTGTTTACTCCTCCCACTTCTTCACTGCTCCGTCGTTCGTGTCGACCTAGTTTTGTTCCCGTTTTCTAAAAAAAGAATGCCAGAAAAAGTTGATTGTGCCTTTTGTTGTCAGTATTCCTTTAATTTAAATATGTAACGGCTTTATAGTAATTGAGAGGGGGGGGTTGCTCAATGGGCGTCAATAGTCAGCTATATCATATATAACGCTTTGAGCAATCTTTACCTGCGTTTGAATCGCTAAATCAGAACCGTCTGTATCGAATTATTCGGGTTTGTTTGTTCGTATTATGACAAAACTCCCTCGTAAACTTAAGTGCGCAGTTACATTCGGTCATGTTGAACTCTGATGGCGCCCGCTAAATGTGTTGCACTTCTCCTTTTCGCCAGTGGGGTGCGCTGTTGCGCTTCAGTAGCAGATAAACGACAACAAATCCACCTCCCTGAGGAAAGATGTCAGTTCTGCAAGGTGAGAGTGTTGGTGCTGCGCAGGGGAGTCCCATGAAGAAAAATAGACTCTCTCTGAAGTTTTTCCAGAAGAAAGAGACCAAACGAGCTCTGGATTTCTCTGAACCTCAGGCAGAAGAGCCCAAAACTGAACCACACGAGCCAGAGTCGAGGTGGGTTCTGTGATGCACAGATGGTTTGTTTAGTAAATAATGTATTCTCTGGTAGTATTTTGTTTAGAAATGGCGTCCCACATTCATTGTCATATTCCAAGCACACACAATAACAATTGTGAAGCTAAGATAGTTTCTGTATTTGGCATAAGAACCCTTAAAGAAAACTTTTTTTTTTTTTTTTTCCATTCAACCTTTATTTTATTAAACCTTTATTTTACCAGGAAGAAATCCATTGAGATCATCAATCTCTTTTACAAGGATGTCCTGGGCTATATACACATATAGCAACAGTCTTAAAAACAGTATCAATGCATTAAAAATAAAATATAAGTAAAAGAAACATACATCAATAAAACATAAAATACAATGTATTTGTACAGGTTAATCCCATTGAGCCTCGGGGATTCATTTACAAGAGAGACCTGATTTCTTAACAAAGAGTGATGAATAACAACGACAACAATAGACAGTCATAAAACTTTGCATGTGCTGTCAATAAAAGGCAGTTGAAACATTAAATATGAGAATATTTATGGACATTTGTTATTGAGAATTATTTATGCATTTTATCTTATTGTGAAACTTGTGGTCCTTTTTAAACTTTAGACCAGACTTTTTTTTTTTTTTTTTCCCAGTTCTTAATTAATCTCGATAGGTATTGACGAGTTACAGATTTATACTATTTTTATTGTATTGTTTTAACAATTTCAGGGTAGTGCAAATAATTTGCCAGTTTGTGTAGGTATCAATGTTCCATGTTCAGCACATTATAGTATTAGAAAATAGGTAATAGTTAAAAATAAAAACAATCTCCAGCTGATAAGTTTTCCCGTTTTGGTATCTTTTCCACCCTGTAGCAGCTGTGAGCAGGTGGTTTTTGGTCCCCTGCCTTGCCCGGCCTCGCCTGGTCTTCCTGTCTCATGCGAAAAGAAAGATCATTTGGTGCCTTTTGTGGGCTTCAACAACTTGGGTAACACCTGCTACCTAAACAGCATCTTACAGGTACGTAATTAAGTGAAGTACTAAAACATTTATTGCAGCTTTTCTTTGGGTCAGTAAACCTGACACCACCAGTAAATGTATAACATTTACTGGTAACTTCTGAAGTTTGTTTTTACAAATACTTAGGATTTGGTTCTTTAGCAGCTTTCAAACAGCACACATTTTAAAATGTAGTACTGAACTCTTTTTTTATTTATTTATTTTTTTTATTCACAATTCAACGACAGCCCCGACACCTGCATAAGCTGTTAGCTACGATTCACATTGTATGTTTGAAAACGATTCAGACTTGGCGCTACACATCGCAGTTAGTTTTCATGGCTAAAATGTACTTTACTTCTGAGTACATTCGATATTTTGTTGTTTATTGTGAGTAATTTGACATTTTGACACATTGTGATGTTTAAAATTGTGACAAAACCGTGTAAGAGCCTAATCAAAAGCATCAACATTGTAGTGCTCTCACCCTTTTTATGCTGTTATGTTTTGTGGCCTACATGCATCTCCGTGTGTGGTTTTAAACCACATGAGAAGTCACAGGTGCGACCACGTTCAGTTTACTGTGCTGACTTTAATGGATTTTACACATCTAATCTGTTTTGTGACTTGTCTTGGAGACCTATCATTTTCCACCTTCCACTTGGCCTCATTTCTGTCCTACAGACATGACGGCAAAGCACTTCTGTCCATCCCCAAAGATGCGAGTGCTCCAGGCAGCTGCCATCTATTGTGGATAGATTTCTTTAGGTCTTGTGTTAATTTTTCTTGCAGGTTCTGTATTACTGCCCAGGATTCAGAGACGGCATAAAGAACATGTTCCTCTTGTCCAAAAGAGAAGACAAACTGAAGAAGGAAACTGATCAAAGTGAAGAGGTTGGTTCATTTTTAATTTGTCTTTAAAAATAATACATCACTCCTTGAGATTTAAATGTAAATTGCATTTTTTTAGGCCTGCCCAAATTCAACCCGTTGATTAGATATGAAGCTATAATTAAGACCATTCTATTTACGTTGTTTTATTTCTTCAGCCACAGTGTCAGCAGTCTGACGGTGACGTTCTGCCGGCTCACATCGAGCTCCTCGGGAGTTTCAACAGTGTGATAAGTTCAGTCGAGCAGCTGCAATCCAACTACCTGCTGAATCCTGAGAGCTTCAGTGAAGGAGAGCTGGCCACGCCGCCTTGCAAAATACTAAACATGCTCAGGTAAAGTTGGGTTGATTTTTATTTAGCAACGATTTTGAAGAAAATAAATGATTTTGTGCACAGTATTTGAGACGCAAGCTTAGACAGAGTATGATTATAGCTGTAGTAGTTGAACCTTATGGTGGTTGCTTTGTTTTTGTGTTGCAGACAGCTGAACCCTATGTACGAAGGCCATCTCCAGCACGACGCTCAGGAGGTGCTCCAGTGCATCCTGGGATATATCCAAGAAGCCTGTGACACCATCAGGAAGGTGCAGGACTTGGAAAAGAAGGATGATGACGTTGGAGAAGTTAAAACGGAGGACATCAGTACAGTTCCCTGTTGCTCCGAGGCTGAATCCAAACCTTCCACAGACGAGGACGGCCAAGTCAGTGTCAAGAGGAAGAGTGACACGGAGGTGGGAAATGCCAAGAAGAAGCCAAAGTCTGTCAAGTGTAAAAAATCTGACTCTGCAGAGGAAAATGTCTGCAGAAACGTACCCTTCACTCGCTCCAAGAGAAAGTCCTCCAGTGATGTCACAGCTGAGCATAAAGACAAGGAGGAGGAGAAGAAACTGAATAAGGAGGAAGGGAATGGAAAGGAAGAGAAAACTGAGAAAGTGTCTAAAGAGACTGATGGGAAAATAAAGAAGAGGGCTAAGCTTGGCTGGCTGAGGTCATCGGGGAAACAGCCGAGTATTTTCTCCAAGTTCTGCAGCGTTGGGAAGATCAGCTCCACAACTGCGAAGAATGAGAACAAAGCGGAGCTGGAAAATGAAGTGAAGGATAAACCAGATGATACGACTGGTCAGGAGATGTCCACTCAAAACTCCACTGAGAAACATCAAGGTATGCTATTTCAGATGTGGGGTTACCAAAGATTAGCCTTTTGCCCTGAATTATAAATGTTAGAATGGAAATTGTGTTTTTCTCTTTGGTTCAGACGTCTTGGGTTTGATGGAGAAGTTGTTCCAGGGCCGATTGGTTCTTAGGACTCGCTGTCTGGAGTGTGAGGGCTTCACAGAGCGGAGAGAGGACTTCCAGGACATCAGTGTCCCCGTGCTCGATGACCAGCCCAGCAGCCCAGATGACCTCTCTGAGGGTGAGGATCATATTTTCTGCCGTATGCGTCGCACCGCCCTATAAGTCGCATCAGTTCATATTTGTCTCATAAAGTGGAAAAATCCATAAATAACGTCGCTTCACCGTATACGTCGCATCCATTATGCGTCACCGCTGACGACCAGGAAATGTGGGCCGGTGTTACGCCAAAAATCACTGGGCTGCGGGAGCGTGCACGGGAGGACTTTAATAAGAATTTAACAAAATTAACACTTAAAAACAATTATTTATTTGCTCGAAATTATAATAAAGGCGTGCCTCAGTCTACTTTTAGAATAATAAATGCACTTTGACGGTCAAATCGGCTGCATTCCAAAAGCTGATACGCGGAAGTAAACGCGTGCACGCGACGAGTCGCTAGGGCTGGACGATATAGACCTAAATGAATATCTCAATATTTTTAAGATAACTCGCGATATACAATATATATATCAATATTTTTTTGCTTTCGATAACGTAGTAACAAAAATATATTTTAGTCGAGGCTTTGTCCCAGTTGTCACACAGGCACATTTATTAACAACAGCTGTAACTGTACAAAATAAACATCTAAAAAATAAACCATTTACACATATATTAGTTAGGTTTTTTTTTAGGTATTTATTTACAAATACAAGTTTCAAGACATTTGATAATGTCCATAGAAAAATCAAAGCAAATGCGTTCTTTTTAGTATTTCACCGTTTTACAGCACCCCGATTTCTGAAGTCTGATTCTAATCAACTATATTCATTCAACCTTTAATAAACTTTATTAACAAAGATCTGATTCTGACTCTGAAAGTGCAGAGCTCTGTTGGAGTTTGTTTTTTTTCTTTCACCCTAAACTTTTGAACACCTATCACTTCTCTCCCACTGTGAGTCAACAAAGATATCTGCATGTCTATTCAAAAAACGTTCGATACAAAAACAACTGGACTTTATTTGTAACAGAAGACGTTTCGCTCCTCATCCGAGGAGCTTTCTCAATTCAAAGAGCAGAGAGTGAGGGGTTCAGGTTATAAGGCTGAGTGAGATAAGATGCACACACATATGTAGATTGGCAGTTCATACCTAAACTGCATATCTAAGCTCAGCTTTTTAATTCAAATAGTCTTCAGGTGCTGCAAGCAGAGGGGGGGGGGGACAGGTTTGTTCTCAGTGAGGGAAAAGAAAGGGGGGTGGCATTATTAAGGTGACTGGGAGGAAAAAACAGGCAGATTTACTAACTGTAGGTAAAGTATAAGTCTAAATCATTTTATATCGAAATAGTCTAATTTTAAATTGTGAATTAAATTATATTGACATTTTAAAATATCAATATATCGCCCAGCCCTACGAGTCAAATGTGCAAATTTAACAAGATAAACACCTAAAAACAATTATTTGTTTGCTCTACTTTATAGTAAAGGTGTTTTTCAGCCCAGCGTTTGCTTAATTAAAGGACTAACGGTCAAATCAGATGTATTTCATTTGTTTGCTCGAAATTGTAGCAAAGGTGTGTCTCAGTTGAACTTTTACTTGATAAATGCACTTTAATGGTCAAATTAGCTGCATTTCACCGGGGCGGTGCAGCTGGTTTGACGGTTGCAGCGAGCAGAAGGCAGGTGGAAGAATATGGCAAGACAACTGAGTCACTAATAACTGGTGAAGATTCTCAGTCATCCAGGACACGGTAAATTAAAAAAAAAGTTCAATACAAAAACAATAAAGTATAATAAATAAAGTCCAGTTGTTTTTGTCTTGAACTTTTATTTGAATTTGTCATTATTGCCACGTTTACCTATTACATTATACATGGCATGCCTTACTGCTACTACTACTACTTTGCTGCCATCTAGTGGCTGAAAATGGTACTGTTAAAAAAAAAAAGTTTTCCAGTTAGAATGAATGAAAACGTCATATCTCAGCCAAAAATTGGTTTATAAATATGGGGGAAAAAATCATAAATACGTCTCTTCGGCCTGTAAGTCGCAGGGCATGCAAATTATGTAAAAAAAACATGACTTATAGTTTTGTCCCACCTCATGTACCACATGTGGTGTGTATGACAAATGTCTCTGAGTATGAAAAATACGGTATTTGTTGTAGGTTTATAATGTGTTCACAGATTGCCGTGAATCAGTGACAGCCGAGTCCATGGCTGTAAAGATTTATTTTTTGTACATTTTATTAATGCTACCAATCGTGTTTGATAGTTTGAACAAATGACATTAGCTGGTATTTCTCTTTTTCTCAGTCTCTCCAGATCCTAAACCGGAGTTGAAGACTCTGAAATGGGCCATCGCTCAGTTTGCCTCGGTGGAGCGCATCGTTGGGGAGGACAAATACTTTTGTGAGACCTGCCATCATTACACAGAGGCTGAAAGAAGTCTGCTGTTTGACAAAACTCCTCAAGTCATCACTATCCACCTGAAGCGCTTCTCTGCCAGCAGCTTGGAGTGAGTTTATAACAACCCCCTAAATACAATAATAAAACAGTGATGAACTTGAGGGATTGATGTCCTTGTTTTCCTCAGGTTGGACCCGTACGCAGGCCTCTGTAAAGTGAACACCCCCTTACAAACACCACTGACCTTGTCTTTGGAGGAGTGGTGCACAGAACCTTCATCTGCTCACGGGCAGCAGTATCAGCTGTTTGCTGTGGTCATGCACAGCGGCGTCACCATAAGCAGTGGCCACTACACCACCTACATCCGCATGTCTGGTCTGAAAGAGGTGAAGCTCTGGCCGGAGGACAAAAAAGAAGCTCAAGTGGAGACGTGCGAGAAAGAAAGTAAAGAGCAAGCACCGAAGGACGGAAATCCAGACTACAACGACGGAGAAGTGTCTTTTAGTCTGAAGGCAAGGGGACAGAGGCGTGCAAGTTTGGCTAACACAAAGTCGGGGAACAAAAAGCTATCGGAGGGTGGTGTTGGGCTCCTGGGAGGACAGAAGAGTTTGTCCAGTGTCGAGCTGGCAAACGGCAGCAAACAAGCAGAAAAAGCAGCCGGTCGTAGAGCATCGGAGGGATCAAAGCGAAGAAAGACCATAAACCGCTCCGGGCTAAACACTGATGGTGGACTTAAGACGGAGCCGAAGGCTGCAGAGGAGCCTTCAGTGGGGTCCTCAGGAGGACTGGAGGCAGCAGATCAGCAGCCTTTGAATCATCTCCTCCAATATGAGGGTAAATGGCTGCTTTTCGATGACTCTGAGGTGCGTTTATTTGAGGAGGAGGACTTCCTGCAAACCTGTTCACCCAAGACGTGCTCCTCGTCGACACCGTATCTGCTCTTCTACAGAAAGATGCCAGAGTGTGGACAGTAAAACGAGCAGGTCTTTAGGGAGCTCCTCCCCTAGTTGACAGACATTTACATCTGCGATGCTTAGTGCCAAAACATTTGTGGCCGTCTTAAAGTAAGGTTACTTTCAGTTCAGCAGTTTGTACCTGCAACAGCCTGCCTCTGTGGGACCAAAGCCAGAAACTTTACCATGTGGGTTCAAAGTCACATTTGTTTTTTTAACATGTCAGGGATAAATACGCCTTGTGGTCTGTACCATTGTTCCTTTGACACTGGCTTTAATACGTCTGTCAAATATTCTGTCATTGTTTCAGCCACAGGTACTGTGTGGTTTGATTTTACACAGTGGTAAAAGCACGTAACTCGTCTCGTAAAGTCAGATTTGATGTTTATTTTTTCTGACTTAAGATTTTTTTCTGTATCGTTTCACTAAAAGCCTTTTGATGCACATTTTGAAATGTTGTTTTTCCCCTCAATATTTTTTTCTTGAACTTCTGTGTCTTTTTCTACAATGATCCCATTTTCCTATTTTTAAGGCAGCAGCCACAAGAAACAGTTGTGCAGCCCTAGATTTTAAATTATTTAAAACATTAAAGTTAAAATTCTCTAAAGTGATTTTCCTGAGGGAACGTTATTAGTACCAGTAATCATCCTAAATCGTACGTGAAATCCACTGAAATTGGTCTGACTAGATGTTAGTCCCAAGTTTCCAAACTGATGAGTGGTGTCCTGCAGGGGGGTTTCTGACAGCTGATTTATTGAAACACGTTCAAAGTACAGCAGTCCCTCGCTACTTCGCAGTTCAACTTTTGCGGTTTTTCAAAGTAAGATTGGACGTGACACAAATGGCTGATTGATGGATGAAATTATTTTTAAATTACTGGTATGTAGCACCTGCTGTCCTGCAGCATGTCATGATCTGCAGTGGAGAAGTGGGCGTGGCCAAGAGCGCAGATGGTGACACAGCAGAGATCATGACATTCTGTGCACTTTTAGAGCGCTGAGTTTCGAAACATTGTTTAGAATTTTGCAAGAGAGCGCAAAGGGTTTCAAACACCTTTTTATATATACAGGTCCTTCTCAAAAAATTAGCATATTGTGATAAATGTCATTATTTTCCATAATGTAATGATAAAAATGAAACTTTCATATATTTCAGATTCATTGCACACCAACTGAAATATTTCAGGTCTTTAATTGTTTTAATACTGATGATTATGGCATACAGCTCATGAAAACCCAAAATGCCTGTCCCAAAAAATTAGCATATTTCATCCCACCAATGAAAGACAAGTGTTTATAATACAAAAAACACCAACCTTCAAATAATCATGTTCAGTTATGCACTCAATACTTGGTTGGGAATCCTTTTGTATGAATGACTGCTTCAATGCGGCTTGGCATGGAGGCAATCAGCCTGTGGCACTGCTGAGGTGTTATGGAGGCCCAGGATGCTTCGATAGCGACCTTAAGCTCATCCAGAGTGTTGGGTCTTGCGTCTCTCAACTTTCTCTTCACAATATCCCACAGGTTCTCTATGGGGTTCAGGTCAGGAGAGTTGGCAGGCCAATTGAGCACAGTAATACCATGGTCAATAAACCATTTACCAGTGGTTTTGGCACTGTGAGCAGGTGCCAGGTCATGCTGAAAAATGAAATCTTCATCTCCATAAAGCTTTTCAGCAGAAGGAAGCATGAAGTGCTCCAAAATCTCCTGATAGCTAGCTGCATTGACCCTGCCCTTGATAAAACACAGTGGACCAACACCAGAGATGACATGACACCCCAGTGACTGTGGAAACTTGACACTGGACCTCAAGCAATGTGAATTCTGTGTCTCCTCTCTTCCTCCAGACTCTGGGACCTTGATTTCCAAAGGAAATGCAAAATTTACTGAAATCAGAGAACATAACTTTGGACCACTCAGCAGCAGTCCCAGGCGAGATGCTTCTGACGCAGTCTCTTGTTCAAGAGTCAAGAGTGGCTTGACCTGGGGAATGCGGCACCTGTAGCCCATTTCCTGCACACGCCTGTGCATGGTGGCTCTGGATGTTTCTACTCCAGACTCAGTCCACTGCTTCCGTAGGTCCCCCAAGGTCTGGAATTGGCCCTTCTCCACAATCCTCCTCAGGGTCCGGTCACCTCTTCTCGTTGTGCAGCGTTTTCTGCCACACTTTTCCCTTCCCACAGACTTCCCACTGAGGTGCCTTGATACAGCACTCTGGGAACAGACTATTCGTTCAGCAATTTCTTTCTGTGTCTTACCCTCTTGCTTGAGGGTGTCAATGATGGCCTTCTGGACAGCAGTCAGGTCGGCAGTCTTACCCATGATTGCGGTTTTGAGTAATGAACAAGGCTGGGAGTTTTTAAAAGCCTCGGGTATCTTTTGCAGGTGTTTAGAGTTACGTCGTTGATTCAGATGGTTAGGTTAATAGCTTGTTTAGAGAAACTTTTCATGATATGCTAACTTTTTGGGACAGGCATTTTGGGTTTTCATGAGCTGTATGCCATAATCATCAGTATTAAAACAATTAAAGACCTGAAATATTTCAGTTGGTGTGCAATGAATCTGAAATATATGAAAGTTTCATTTTTATCATTACATTATGGAAAATAATTACCTTTATCACAATATGCTAATTTTTTGAGAAGGACCTGTATACCGGTATGATTCCCATTTCGCCGTTTTTCACTTATCGCAAGGGGACTGAACGGAAGAATTCATTTAAAGAGATTGTTTGGCAACAGATTTACTTTAAATGAAAACTTTTGTAGAATTTAGGCCACTAGTGCCACTTTAACAGATCTGCCCTGCTCAAGAGAGAACCCCACTTCTGTAAAGGACAAACTTGATATTTTAAACAAGAGGCTTTTGATTCCATTGGTCCAAAGTTTCATATTTGCGTTCAACAGATTAGGAGCTAAAGTCAGGACAAAGTTTAAGAAACGTGTTCAAGTCACTATTATGGACTAAATGTTTTGCACCATGATTTATCTGGTATTCTGTGACTACATCAACTCAGTAATTTAACCTTTTTAAACATATTTACGTGGATAATTCTACTATATAGTAGTCCCTCGCTACTTGGTGGTTCGATTTCCGCGGACTCGCTCTATTGCGGTTTGTGGACGTACAGAATATTGGACTTTTTTTTAACGATTGTGGACTACAGTAATATCACTGTATCGTACTTGTGGTTCTGAAAAAGTTGATGACAAAGATGCACTTCCTGGTCAAAAATAAAGTCGCCACAAAAAAAAAAAAGGTCACTAATATTTGGTTGGACCACCTTTAGCTTTGATTACATCATGCATTCGCTGTGGCATTGTTTCAATAAGCTTCTTCAATGTCACATGTCCATCCAGCGTTGCATTAATTTTTCATCAAGATCTTGCATTGATGACTAGGCACTAGGCATGATGGGTGCATCACTTCACCTGCCTCTCCTCTTACTCTGATGCACCCATCACTCTGGAACAGAGTAAATCTGGACTCATCAGACCACATGACCTTCTTCCATTGCTCCAGAGTCCAATCTTTATGGTCCCTAGCAAACTGAAGCCTTTTTTTCCAGTTAGCCTCACCAATTAGTGGTTGTCTTAAGGCTACACAGCTGTTCAGTCCCAGTCCCTTGAGTTCCCTTCGCATTGTGTGTGTGGAAATGTTCTTACTTTCACTATTAAACATAACCCTGAGTGCTCCTGTTGTTTTCTTCCATTTGATTTCACCAAACGTTTAAATGATCGCTGATCACGATCATTCAGGATTTTTTCCGGCCACATTTCTTCCTCGAAGACGATGGGTCCCCTCTATCCTTCCAGTTTTTAATAATGCGTTGGACAGTTCTTAACCCAGTTTCAGTAGTTTCTGTAATCTCCTTAGATGTTTTCTCTGCTTGATGCCAATGATTTGACTCTTCTCAAACAGATTTGACATCTTTTCCACGACCACGCGACGCGTCTTTCAACATGGTTGTTTAAGAAATGAGAAGAAACTCATTGCACCAGTTGGGGTTAAATAACTTGTTGCCAGCTGAAAGATAATCACCCATGCAGTAATTATCCAATAGGAGACTCGTACCTATTTGCTTAGTTAAATCCAGGTGGCAACTTTTTTTTTTTTGGGCCAGGCAGTGTATTTCGGACAGGCGTCACCATTTTGTAGTTTTCTTTCATTCAGCCTCCACTGTACAGTACTGTAATCGCCACGGACAGACTACATTTCCCTCAAATCAATGCTGTGCAGTACTGTAGTGCCTTTGAGCGCCGTTTTCTGCCAAACACTTTTTGCAAAGCGAAGTCATGACTGCTGAAGCAGACTTTCAAAAGTAAAACTTACAAGACGTCCGTTTACCTCCGCTCTTTTCAACTGGACGGCCCCTAAACGTTCTGTGCGTTCAAAAAGTTTCTGGCAGCGAACCAAAACGCCAGTGGAAGATGCTGAGGATTAAAGAGAAACTGGAACTTCTGGACAAACTTAAAGATGGCTGTACCTATGCAGATGTTGTTGGACGCCTTTAGGCACGATTAAGATGGAAGCTGCATTGGTCATGTGCATTAATGATCACGGAAAAAAACATATCATCGCTTTGGATACCAACACCAAAGGTGAAAACTTTATGAGGTTGAATGAATGATCATCTTGTAGCAAGCAACATGGAGGAAGCAGACATGGCTGGACCTTTCAACCACCGAACCACTGCGTTTAGTGCCAGCAAGGGGATGGTTCGACAAATTTCCAAAACTATTTGGATTAAAAAGTGTTTCTCTGCACGGAGAGGCTGCGTCCGCTCACACAGCAGGGGCGGAGTTTAACAAGACGTTCAAAGATCTGATCACCGAGGGGGGTCTACAGGTCTGAACACGTTTTTAACGTGGAAGAAACGGGCCTGTTCTGCAAAAAAGATGCCATCTTGCACTTTTATTATGAAGGACGAATCCAAAGCGCCTGCTTTAATCTCATCTTCATCGTCATCACTGAACAGCTAATTGTCCCATCTCCATTTCATCTTCTCTGGTTGAGTACCCATTTGAAACCAATATTTTTTTAAAAGGTTTAAGAGTTTAGAAAATTGTTAGGAACACTGCAAGAGTGTGGGAAGGGTTTAAAATGCCTTAATAGATAAATGCTAAAATAAACTACTACTACTTGTGCACATCATTTTGTTCATGTACTACATGAGATAGTGACAAAGTTAACTTGAACTACTATCTCTACTTCATGGTTTTTCACCCAACACACGCGATAAACAACTACTGTATACCTAATACCTAAAACTTTAACTTTACTAAACCATAAAAGCAGCTCAGGTACACTTTACTTGATTACATCTGTAATCTGAGTTGTATGCTTCATAATTTGAGAAATAACGCTTTTACTTTCCCTTCCTGTCAAACTCACTTACAAAAGGGTGCCAACATTTAAAACTTGGCTCAAACTAAGGGCCATTCTCAGAAACTACATGAACTCAAGTCAGAAACTCAACATCTTCTCTTGGTCACATGTTCCTCAACAAGAGTTTGATTGGTCTCATCTGTTTCATCTGCTTCCCTCTTCCTAATCAAAGATTACTAAAATAATTCAAGTGATAAAAGCATTTTATGTTTGACACATCATCTTGGGGGCCAGAGAAAATGTCAACGAGGGCCACATTTGGCCCCCGGGCCTTGAGTTTGACAAGCGTTGTACATAGTTTGTTTTTCTGATAAATTAGCAAGAAATCATACAAGAAAAACACCCATCTGGACATTTAAATATTTATTTAGTAAAATATTTAAAGTAAAACAACTACATAAAATTATACAAGGCTGTTTAAAGTACCTAACATTAAAATATTGTTGCATCAACATAAAATAATAATAATAATAATAATAATAAAGCATCATGATAAATACTGGTACCATTTGTTGCACATTTTCATTTTTTCCTCCACTTAAGAGTACATAAAGTTTCAAGTTGTAAAACGCATCGCTACACTATAAAAAAGTGCACACATGAAATTGAATAGTCTCTTTTTTTTTTGGACAAATTGTACATGATTAAATAGACACCTTGACTTGTAAAATAACTTTTGTTGGACACTTGTAAAAAGTTTGGCTGAAAAAAAGGGGGAGTTTTGGCACTTATATTGACCTCAGAACATTCTTTATGTTTACTGGTTTGAACGCTCACAGCAAGAATGTTCTGTTGGAATCAAGAGTCATTCGTTTGTTTTTAAGGGAGCTGCAAGACAAACAGCCACGCAGTAACAAACGGAGAGTAAAGAACTTCTAAATGCCAAGGTATCTTTTAATCTTTCAGATCCATTTGTTCGCTCTGCTGATTGTGGAATAGTCTGTAAACAAATAAGACACTGGAATGACGTACCAAGCTGCAACTCATAGCCTTTCTTACACAACTTTTCAAAACACTAACTTTCAAAGGACACGCCTATGTACACTTGAGAATAAATTAATATTGCATTTTCTGTTCCGATTTTTTGTGTAAGTGGCTCCGTGTGCGAGTGATTTCCCTTCGTCTTCAAATCTCAAGCTTGCGAAGACTCATTCTGCTGAAGGAATCTCTGAAAATTGGAAAACAAAGAGTATTTTAATAAAGATTTTTAAAAAATGAGCTTTGACAATAATTAAAACATGACTGGATTTGCAGTTAGGCCTGTCGCAATAAACAATAAATCAATTAATCGCATGATAAATGAAAATGATCAACCTCATTTTCATTTATTGGCTTTATCGTTTCTTCGTGTCTCTCTCTTTCTACTGAAGACACTGGATGACAAAAGGTTCAACTCCGGTGCTCTTCACTGACCCCTCCCTTTCTCTTTAAAATCTGTTTTAACCGTCCAAAATCACATTTTTGGATCATTAAAAGCAGCTAAGCTGAGAAGCTAAGCTGAGAAGCTAAGCTATGAGCTAAGCTAACAGGCCGACCTCGGGGAAAACACCTCCGTCTTGTCGAAGCTCCAAAATTCACGATTGAAACCCGTGCCTTCATGTAAAAAGTTGTTTTTCTCTGATAAAGGAAGCTGAGAACTTGTTTACTGATTTTTTTTAATTAAAAGCTTTGTGTGACAAATGCTATGCTAAAGAGCTCAAACCACACCGAGCGTCCGCCATTTTGAGAACCGAAGAGAGACAGCCCATGTCATATCAAGGGGCCTCCCTCCCATTTTTCTTAAAGAGACATGCTGCTCGCTCCCTCACTATCCATCCTTCGGTTCAAACTGTTTTATTCTGTCATTCGGTGGTTGAAAAAAGGTACTACATTCAAAACAAATTAAGCATTTCTTCTTGAATTGGACAATAATTATTCATTATTGTCAAATTTCAAACCATATTATCGTTTATCGCAATAATTTCTGAGGCATTTAATTGCCCGGCAAAATTTGTTATCGTGACAGGCCTATTTGCAGTTTGACCATTTTATAAATTCTTTTGTCATTTCAACTCAGATCTGTTGCATCTGATGTGATCCAAACTGAAGGTTTGGAAGATGTTGGTTAAAATAATGTGAAAGATTAAAAGCTTTTACTTTGTATGCAGATAGATCAGACTAAATGACAACTATTATTAAAAATTATATACTTTTTTATATTATTTACTTTTTTTACACCAAAATACACTGATGGCAACACAATTTCCAATTTTCTTTAGTTTTGTAGCACTACTACAACCACATAGGAGTTTTAAGTATTTAAATTTGTACCACCAACATGTAAACAAACAAAAAACATCCTCTTTTTTATATATATTATTTTAATGTGGCACAATAACATAAAACACAAAAGTAATCTGAAAACTACCTTCTCAAGCTGTCCGTTTGCTGCATGATTATTATAAAAACAAAAACACGTTTAAATTATCATTCAAGGCAAACAAACATTTTCCCTCTCCCTCACACACGCACACACGCACGCACGCACGCACACACACACACACACACACACACACACACAGAATCCAGGTTGTGTCTCACCTGTGGGAGTTGACCTGCAGGACAGGTTTGTAAAGCTGTGGGATCTTCCTGTTGATGAGCGGCTGCAGCGCCTCCTTCAGTCTGTGGTAATTCCTCTCCAGCTCCCTCTGGTACTCCTTCTGGTCGGGACCAATCAGGCTCTTGTTCTTCCGCAGGGCGTCTTCACACCTTCGGCAGGACGAATGTTGAGATGTAAACTCTAATCTACCCTCGGAGTCCGCCAAACACCAGTTTGTAACAACGTAGAACAATCCCAGTTTCCACAGACATCGGCCATGATCCATAACGTACCTCTTAGTGAAGTCTTTAAAGCACAATCGTAGCTTGTTGTGGTGTCGGTACAGTTTGGGGTCGCTGGGGATCTCTGATAGGAACACCTGAGCCACCTCCAATGGCCCCTTCAACAAACAGACACCGGTTGAGTAGACGTCTAAAGCTTCATTTTTTCAGAGGAGCTTCATGAAAAGAGTGTTTTAGTTGCGTGAACGTTTATGAAGCATCCGCACTACTGTCATCCATTTTTCTTCAGTACGTTTTTCAGCGACTTTCTCGTCCGCAGTTTTCAAGCTATTTCAACAAATCATAAATCAAAATGTTCAGCTCTTTCAGGACAATCCTGCTATGACTTTTGGTATTGGCACAATTTTAGCTTTTTGAAATATTTAGCCTTTTCTGCCATTTTTTTTTTCTCATAGAAAATTAATTGAGCTCATGTTACATCCTTCACATCTTTAGATGTGGTTACAACTTAACTGCTCCTTTCACATTTTGTTCTGCTTCAGCTTCCTGGTGAAAATTTACTGTAAACATTTTTTTCAGCTATTTTCAGCTAATTTCAGCTGTTAATTTCTGCTGTTTTGTGCTTCGTCCTGATTATTTCTGCTAACTACATTTGTATGCTTCTTCTAACTTTTTCCTGCTAATTTCAGCTAGTTATGCTTCTTTCAGTTTTTTATGCAAGTTTCAGCTTTTTCTAGTATTTCAGCTATTATTTAGCTGTTTATGCTAATTCAAGATTTGTCAGCTAATTCCACATTTTTTGCACAAATTTCAACTTATTTCAACCTAATTCAGCAAAAAAATGTGCTCTCGCCACTTCCTTCTTGTATTTTAAGCTTCTTCCTGTCTTTTTAGCTACTTTTCAGCAGTTTTTGATAATTTCTGCTCAGTTCTGCTTCTTTAAGCCTAACTGGGCAAACGTGTGTTCTTTCTGCTTTCTTCTGCTAATTTAAGATAGTTCTACCTTTTCAGCTAACGTTTTGCATTTTTAGCTAATTTCAGCTGTTTTCAGATACATTATAGGTAAAACAAGTTTTTCATTGTAATTTCTGCAACTTTAAGCCTAAATAACTTATTTCTGCTCCTTTCAGCTTTTTGTGCTATTTCAGCTATTGTTTTTATGCTAATTTTGGCATTTTCAGCTAATTCCACTTATTTTTTTTTTATTTTTTTTTTTATCTCATTTCAACTCTTTTTGCTTTCTTCTGGTAGTTTAAGCTTCTTTTTGCCTTTCCAACTACTTTACAGTTCTTTTGGTTGCAAATGTCAGCTTTATTTAGAAAATGTCCTTTTTTTTCCTAATTTAACAAATAACATTTTAAAATAACAAACATATTTGCTAATAGCAATTTAGCAAATATGTGTTCTATCTGCTTTCTTCAACTAATTTATGCTTGCTCTTCCATTTCAGCTAGATTTCAGCATGTGTTTTTAGCTAATTTCAGCTGTTTTTCAGCAAGTTCTTCTACAATAAGCATTCACTGCATTTTCACAAGAAATGCTATTTCCCTAGGTTGTTTTGTTTGTCCAACCTGGTTTACGGTCGTGCCCACTGATCCCTGTAGGACCATCTGCAGCATTTTGGCATCAGCAGGGTCCTGATGGGTGGCAAAGGCCAACTCTTGTGTCTTCTTCTGCATGTCTTCTATCGCCACCTCTATGGGTGTGGAAATAATCTGGGAGAAAAAAGTTGTATTATTGGGTGTGAGCTACTGATCCTAACTGGTTTTCTAGTTAACCACTGGTGAGTTGAGCACCCACCTCCTCTTTGTGGATGATGTTGATCCTCGTCTTAATGTAAGGAAAGGCGTGCGACGTGGTGAGGATGGTCTTGCGTTTGAATTGCTCGTGCAGGTCGCCGTGTGCCCGCCCGTCCAGCGTGAAGGGAGTGCAGTAGACAAAACGTCTCAAGTTATAATTCTTATCAAAGTAGGTGATCCGGTCTTTCATCTCGTAAGTGTCGAAGTACGGCTCCACGTATGTGATCTGAATAAATGCCTGCAACAAGAGGCCCAACAATGTCAAATTATGAGTTCTACCAGCAAAGGAATTAATATTTTAGCAATACTCGCCTTATTGGGGTCCAGCTTGCACTTATCTACAGGATTGGAGTCTTTAATGACTTCAACCTGGTCCTCTCCAAACCGCTCCCCGTAGAAGTTCTAAGAGAAAAGAGAGCAGGGTCTTGGTAAAGAGCAACCTAATGTTATTAGAGGAATACGAACGTTTTATTTAAAGAACGCTGTGCACGAGGCTTGGAGGCTGCATGTTGGTGTTTACCTCAAGCCTGTGAGAGATTTCAGCCAGCTTTGTGATGGCAGGTTCCTTGTACACGAACTCCTGCTCCTCCAAGTCGCCAAACTTGGAACCGTAAAAACCCACTCTGAAGTACGTCCCAAACATCCTCTTCCCATTCTGGGAGCAGATGAAAGTAACCGTTAGAGGCATGAGTTTATGTTAAAAATATTTTTGGTGCTAACACAAGACATGATCTCCAAACACCATACAGACTCAGTGGATTTTTATTTTTATTTTACACACCGAGCTCTGATGGTTGCTTTATAAACCGTTCATACAGACGTTTTTTTGTTACATCCTTTAAGGTTTTCTAAAGTTTGTTACCTTTAAGACACATTTAAAAAAAAAAATCCAGTTCATTGAGTCAGTTGTGCACACATTCACAACGACAAAACCAAAAGCAGGTTTTTAATATTTTTTTTCTTTTGATGTATGAAAACAGTGAGAGTAAAAGATATGAGAATAGTTGGACCTTTCACTTCAATTGTTAACATTGGAGCTGCAGAAGAAACTTAAAGGATTTGATCATTTTTGCAACACTTTTTTTGTTGCGGGATCCTTTAAGCTCAACCAGGCTGGATGGGCAGTCCCAAGTCAAAGCTGTTTCTACAAGGTTCTGGTTCAGACTGGGCTGGGAGACTTCAGGACTTTCAGTTTAATTTATGTCACATGCGTAACCCATATTCCTTCGGGTCATTGACTTGAAGAAATCCAAAACTTTCACCTCAGCTTAAGATCTTGAGCAGTCATAAAAACATTAACCCTGATTTTATTTATTTTGCCTCTTAATGTTTCCTCAAGTTTATTTGATTTTTTAGTTGCTTTTGTAAAAAACATCTTCACAAACGATGCTGCCATCACCAGGTTTGACTATATTAAAGAGCTGATGCTCACTGCCTGCTTCTGTCCACACAGAGATCCTGATCGGACCACAGTTGTTTTGCATTTTTCAGTAAGAACCAGTTTTTTCTCTGGACACACAATTTTAAAGCCTAACTGATGAAGCTGAACAGATTCCTGTAACGTTCTCCCATCTCCACAAAAAAACAATAAAAATAAAATGCTTTGCTAGTTGTCTCATTCATGATATCCGTTATCTTGTTTACTTTTTTAAATTGGCCTTAAGTAATTTCAATTTTTAACTTTTAGATCCGTGCTTTATAATCGTGTCTACTAACAATATATCTTGATTCCTTATTTGGTTTTTATTCCAATGCCTTCAATGGTGAGACTCTATATATTGTTAAAAAAAAAAGAATTTTTATTTTTTTATATATAATGACCACTTTACACGTTTGCTCTTTATTCCAATGAAAAGTCAATACAACAATTTTAGATGCAAGTTCTGTTCAGAGGGCTACAAGAAGAGTTTCAATGAAAGTGCAAAAGCAAGAGCTGTCATCTGCATATTCTTAAAACTACAAGTGTTACCAGTTTTATATACGGTAATATGAAAAACATGTGCCAGTGTTTTTTTTTATATATAGACGTGAGTATATGTGTACTGAGAAATGTGGAAGGAAACCAAAGTCAGAAAGAAAATTGCCAGAGGAAAGACAACAACCTTCAGTCTTGTTAAAAAGCTTTCCACTTCAACATAAACTCGATAGACAGATAGGTGCAAAGCCAAAATCATTTTTACATTAAATGGAAACAAAAAAAAAGGCAATAACGACTTAATATTTACTCGGGCACAGTGATGTATCTGTAAACATGTTCAATAACTGGAAAAGTACCAATCAAATCCAGATGTTATGTTAAGCACAAATCTTAGCAAGGAAACAAAGAGTCTAACAGATCCACAATTAGGCCTGTCATGATAACAAATTTTGCTGGGCGATTAATTGTCTCAGAAAATATTGCGATAAACGATAATATTATTTGAAATTTGACAATAATTAGTAATTATTGTCAAATTTAAGAAGAAATGTTGATTTATTTTTGTGAGTAATACCTTTTTTGACCACCGGATGGCAGTGTAAAACTGTTTGAACAGAAGGATGGATAGTGAGGGAGCGAGCAGCGTGTCTCTTTAAGAAAAATGGGAAGGAGGCCCCTTGACATGGGCCGTCTCTCCTTCCCTTTTTTCGGTTCTCAAAACGGCGGACGCTCGGTGTGGTTTGAGCTCTTTAGCATAGCATTTGTCACACAAAGCTTTTAATAAAAAATCTGTAAACAAGTTCTCAGCTTCTTTTCGCAGAGAAAAAACAACTTTTTTATACGAAGGCACGGGATTCAACCACGAGTTTTGGAGCTTCGACAAGACGGAGTCTGAGTGTGAACAGATATTTGCTTGTGTGTGTGTGTGTGGTGATAAAAGATGGAAGCTGCAGAAACTTGAGGCCAAAGCAACAAAACTCCCTATACAAGAAAATTAGATAATCAGATTTAGCAACTCCCAAGGGCAAAAATAACACGTATAAATAGAAATTATTCATTGTTACTGTATCGACTTGAAAAAAGATATTAAGAAAATACTGATGCCCTGAAAACTAAGGCACTTACCACAAGACACAATTAAGTAAAGTAGGAAGGAGGGGTCAGCAACCGGGGAAATCAAAAAAGGAGAAAACAGAACAAATGTTTAATCAGGATAGGGTTGTCCCACAGAATTCAAAAACAACACAAACTAACACACAAAAACAAAATCATCGTCACTGAAGGAAATAAACCTGTTAGGAAACCAGACCATGCACAAGCAAAGACAAAAACGGGAAAAAAGTAAGAAAATAAAGATCCAGAGCCCTTCACACACCATGCACCCCGTAGTGCATTTCCAAAAGGATGAGTTAAAAATCCTGACCGAATCATGCAGCAAACCATAAGAACGCACTCAGAGGTTAATACTGTTAACAAATGAGAGAATGGATGAACAAAATCAGGGGTCGATTTAGTTTAAAGAAAAATAAAACTGAATTATAATAAGTAAAATGAGTAACTCAAAGGTTAGTTGAATTGGTCAAAAATAATACTGGAGACATGTGGTTCCGGCTTTGACCCAAAGTTTGCTACGTCTTAAGTTTTAAAAAGCTTATTTTTGGCAAGAATAATCCACGGCCATAGCAGGAGGACTACCAGCTACCCTTCACCTGTAACAGTGCACTAAAATCGAGCCCTGTGCACGAAGATGAGATGAGATGAAGTGTGACAGAAGAGGGTGCCGGTCGATGAGTGTGTGCTGACACCAGCAGACAGACAGACAGAGGATGAAGATGGATAAAGTGCGGATTGTGCAGGTGATGCATTCACGTAAACTTTAGTCATTAGTGTCACATCGCGGCTGCCATGCACAGCCTGTCAGCGCTGTCACGTTTGAAATAAATAAATATGTAACACAAGCTCCTCGGGCACAAGAAGAGGAGGGAGGAGACAGAAAAACAGGTGAGGGCTTTGCTGAATATACAGCAAATGTTCCCAGCAGGGCAGACAGTTGACAGTGTCTGCAAGTGTTAATGGATTTGATGTATGAAACGAAGCAGAGAGCAACAAAATGCCCGCAGCTGGCAAATAAAAAGATGAGAGTAATAAAAATAAAAACATGAGCAGGGCCAAGCAAGAACTATTCAACCACCTACCTCCCAGCCAGTACTCTGTGTAACAAAGAGAATACAGGACATGTGAAGACAGGACATTTCAAACCACACGCGCACGGTGTGGTACACACATGCACAGGATGATAAGCCCTTTGAAACAAGGACTGCTTAGCTGGAGAACAGGGAGTAAATAAATCAAATTATCATCCGTTTAAAGTCATTTTCTGTCACAACTTTGTGAAAGAATTTCCTTTGCCCAACAGGCAACTGCAACCACTGTAACTAGAGATGCACCGATCCGATGTTAGTATCGGTAACGATATCGGGAAAAATAAAAATAAATAATCTTGAACGGGTATCGTGACAATGTGACAGATCCATAAGGACAAGAGCTGATTGCTGTTTATTTTAAATATCTGCCAACCAAGCTAGTGAAGCTATTGTTTTTTTTTCCTCTTATTTCAGCTCCTTTATTATTTATTTTACATTATATTTAGAATTCCTGAACCATTTGAAAGGTTTGTTGAAGTTTATTCTTTCATGTTTGACCCAAGTTGTCAACCTATTGTGTTTGTCAGCTGCAGTATCTTTTATTATTATTTATTTTTACATTGGATGTTATACTTATAATTGCACTGAGTGAACATATTAAAGTTGTGTTGTTTTTACGTTTGACCAAGTTTGTGAAGCCACTGGTGTGTTCAAGTGTGCTGTACTGGTTCAGTTTTCAATAAATTTGTAATTCAGTGCATTTATATCTGCGTTTAAAAAAAACTAATGCTTTAAGTTAATTCAGCACTGTTTTTCTGTATCATATCGGCATCGACCGATACAAAACCTCAGATATCGGT